GTTATGCTACGTCTATCAAAGCACGACAGAAATGTTCACTTTATTTTATGTTACTTCAGACATATTTTAGACCTAATGTTGAATTGGATAAATGACTATCGTGAATTGGCGAAATAGTGGAGTGCGCTCGGGAGCCATTTACAATAGCGAGGAACGTAGGTGGATTGATCTGAGTAACATATGACACTGCGTTCACTGTTGATATGAAGTTTATTCACACTATGTAGTCGGGTGACATGAGAACAAAGTGACTAACATACCTTGTGTACGACACATGGATGAAGCTAATGCTACTTTTTCATTTTGTTTCGGTAGGCCCGTTTGTTCAGAGTGTAGCCGTCCTGTCGGTCTGCGCCTGTTGCAGCTGTGACTGATTCGGTGGTCGGCTTTACAGCCCTTTCGGTGGATTGGGTATGGCAGGGGGCCCCCGTTTTAAGGGGAGTCTGTAGAAAGTCGCGCAACTCATCCTCGCTCATGTGTCGTACACAAGGGGGCTCAATGTCTCGGCCCTCGTCAACCGCTCGCTGCACGTTAACCAGTTCCATATAGTTGTTCGCTTGAACGTTAATTTCCGGCAGCCGGAAGTGCCGAATGGGCTGCTGCTGTGGCGGTGGGGGTGGCAGCTTTGGCGGCGGTGGGGGTGGCAGCTTTGGCGGCGGCGGGGGCGGCGCCGCCGGCGGCGGCGGCGGCGGCGGCGGTGGCGGTGGGTGGTGGTGGCGATGGCCGCCGCCTCTGTCGCCGCTGCTTCTGCTGTGGCGGGGGCGGGAACGGCGGCTGCTCCTGTCGTTGCATTTTTTGACGAATGCTCTGGATTATGCGGACTGCATCTGCCCTAATGCCATGCCCCCGCCACAGCAGAAGCAGAGGCGGCGGCCATCACCACCACCACCACCGCCACCGCCGCCGCCGCCGCCACAACAGCAGCAGCGGCGTCTGAAACGGCGGCGGCCATCACCACCACCACCACCGCCACCGCCGGCACCGCCGCCACGACCGCCGCCAAATCTGCCACCCCCACCGCCACAGCAGCAGCCCATTCGGCACTTCCGGCTGCCGGAAATTAACGTTCAAGCGAACAACTATATGGAACTGGTTAACGTGCAGCGAGCGGTTGACGAGGGCCGAGACATTGAGCCCCCTTGTGTACGACACATGAGCGAGGATGAGTTGCGCGACTTTCTACAGACGACGACGGCCGGTGGCGCGTCGGCCACCGGCATCCGCCCTGGAGGGGCGGTTGTCCCCCGTTTGGCTGGCTCGGGCGCTGTCCACGCACCGAGTCGGGGCGAGGCCCCACACCGTCCACCACTTGAAGGCGGGGGACTCCAGACGGCAGATGGAGAAGCCGTGACGTTCTGCCTGGACGTCGGCCCCGGCGGCCAGAGAGCGGCCCCTGCGCACATACGGAGGGGAGCGGCAGAGGCCACATTGGAACATCTGCCGCCCCGCGCCACCTGGATATGGTCGGACGGCTCGGCGGAGGGAGGCGTCTCCCAGGGCGGGGGCGGTGCCACCATCACCCTCCCGTCGGGAGAGACTCGGGAGGTCCGAGTCCCAGCGGGCCAGCTCTGCTCCAGTACGCGGGCAGAGCTGTGTGCCCTGAAGGCGGCCCTGAACGCCATCCGAGACGCCGACGCCGACATCGCAGACGACCCAATAGTCATCTGCACCGACTCCCAGGCCGCCCTGAGGATGCTGGAGAGCGGCGCCTCCTCCCAGACGACTCACCTAGGGATCTCCATCTGGGAGGACCTACTCGCTCTCTCCAGCCAAGGGTCACCGATCCGCCTCCAGTGGGTCCCGGCGCACTGCGGCCTGCGGGAAAATGAGAGGGCCGATGAGCTGGCCAAGGAGGCCTCCGGCCTACCCCAGGAGGCAGCAGCAACAGACGTGAGGACGCTAACGAAGGCCGTCGCACGCTGCGCCTCCCACCGCTGGCGGCAGGAATGGCCGTCCGGCTTCTTCAAAGACATCATGCGGGACCGTATGCCGGCTCCGCTCAACAACCTCGACCGGGATGCCGCCGTCAACGTCCACCAGCTGCGGGCCGGGCACTGGGGTCGCTCGGAGCAGTATCTGCACCGTATCGGGCGGCGCCCCATCCCGACCTGCCAGCAGTGCAACCTCAAGGCGTGCCCCGCAGCCCGCTGCATCGTGTGCAGAGAGGGCGCCGACACTCCGGAGCATGTGTTGCTCAGGTGCCCGTGCCTGGCCGGCGCCCGCCTGCGACTGACGGGCAACATCCACATCCGACCAGAGCAGCTGAAGGACGGCGAGCTGGTGGCGGCCTTGGCCGCCGGCTACCTCCGCCACAAGGAGCCCCTCACGGGGTTACAGGCCGGCCCCAGCCGGCCCTGAGGGGAACACCAACAACCAACAACAACTTTCTACAGACTCCCCTTAAAACGGGGGCCCCCTGCCATACCCAATCCACCGAAAGGGCTGTAAAGCTGACCACCGAATCAGTCACAGCTGTAACAGGCGCAGACCGACAGGACGGCTACGCTCTGAACAAACGGGCCTACCGAAACAAAATGAAAAAGTAGCATTAGCTTCATCCATGTGTCGCACACAAGGTATGTTAGTCACTTTGTTCTCATGTCACCCGACTACATGGTGTGAATAAACTTCATATCAACAGTGAACGCAGTGTCATATGTTACTCAGATCAATCCACCTACGTTCCTCGCTATTGTAAATGGCTCCCGAGCGCACTCCACTATTTCGCCAATTCACGATAGTCATTTATCCAATTCAACATTAGGTGTAAAATATGTCTGGAGTAACATAAAAATGAAGTGAACATTTCTGTCGTGCTTTGATAGACGTAGCATAACGACCACGACGGTCGCAAGTGACCGCCGGGGCTGTGAACGGCACGGCAACGACCGGCCGGCGGGTGGCTACGCCAGCGCCATCTATGGAGAGAATCGGGTAACTAACGCAAACCTTCCGAGCCTTATGCTTTCCTGCGAGGCCGGTGAGGCAGGCGGCGTGCCGATTTCGACGTCGCTGTATGCCGAATCGACTGGTACATGCATTTAGCGATACATTGTTCATATTTTTTCATTACATTCATCATATTATTCAAAAACATGCAAAAATTAAGAAAACCGGAAATATTCAAAGAGCCGGGGCGGTCAAAAAAAGTTCGAATTTTATATTTTTTCCGCCGGATTCGTGATCAGCACCCCCAAATACGTTAGATTAGACCTGGGGAGCAAAACTTTTCGAAACTTCTTGCAAAACCGGTCACCCTAATAGAGCAGATAGGGAGGGGAATCAAGTAACACTGACAGGAGACATCCCAGTGCCCCAAGGGATGACACATGGCAGTGGAAACCGCCCCCATCAGCCCTTGACCGCCCCGGGCGTGACCCCGTGATCGGAGGAGATTAAAGGTCACTGAGACGCCCCTACACGTCTGTGCCACGCCGAGCCAGACTGAACAACTGGGTCAGACAGATGCCAGCCACGCCTCAGACGCCGGCGCAGCGGCCAGTGGCGGCCGACACGACACGGTGACCGGCATAAACACATTTGAGGGGCGGCGCCACCGCGGGCCAGTCCGCTGCCACAGCTCAATGGGTATATGATGGTAGAAAGAATATGCGCTGGGCGGTTATATTGCTCAAAACGTGTTCCAAACTTTGTATGACGGCTCCCAAGTTCGCATAGCATCTTAACCAAATAAAATTGCATCTAGTTAGAACACACCGTTCAGATCTCCGAGACAAAAATATCAAGTCCAGCTGCAAAGAGCATTCGAGCTCCTGCTAGAACAGCAGTACCATTTGCCACAATTTCACCCGAACTACCCACCCCGGGCCCCCACAGGGCCTCCTCAGTCCCCCCCCCCCCCTCCAGGTCTGGGTGCACTCAAAGACACCGCCCCGTCGGACCCACGCCTGACACAGCATGTCTCCACGACGGTCACACGGCACAGATAAACCCAGCTCAGCAGCTGGTTACGAGGGGTCAAAGGCGGAGGGGTACGGACAGTGCTCGGGTGCGAGAGGTCAAATGAAGATGGGGGGTAAGATGTGCTGTCTTTGAAGACGAACATTAATAACATGACCAGAATTTGAATTAAATTAGATAAGGCGAACGCAGGCCTTTAAAAGCAATACCGTTGCACTCGCGATAGATTGGCAGCACCTCTTGAATCTTAACCGTCGTGCTCGACACAAAAGTTTATAACTCGAGTAGTGAGTACTGAGTGCGCTAAACCGCAGACCGTCCAGAGCAGCGAAAAACGAACTAGGCCTCCTCCGAGCTACGCGCCAGTGGTCGCCACACACCCTGTTTTGTGACGCACTATCAAAATATCCAGTGGGGTGTTAGCGGTTTTTGTCATCGGCGCTGGTCCCGTTTTTGCATTTCTAGAGTAAAAGTTGTCAAGGAGTTTCTAGGCGACATCTATACCGCGAAGTTATTGTATGGGCTGGTTTGACAAGCAAAGAACAGACGGACTGCAAACTGGCTTCCATGGCAACCAAGCCAGATCTGTGACTCGCGTGCCCCATAAGTCTCGTCTTTGACGCTGTGCAGTGACCTGTCTGTGTAAATAGGCGCTGCCTCGTGGCAGTGACCGTACCACGGTCACATCTGAGGCGGTCCGGCGGACAGCGGCGCCTGCGTACCGTCACACGCCCTCACTGCAGACCGTCCGGCCTGGCAACGGCGGCCGTTCACAGAAACAGAGCCTAGAGTTGGCCCGGAGGGCATTCAGGTCACAAGGCGCATTAGACAGCTGTACAGGCCGCAGGGCTAATAAAAATGACGCAATACCAACGCATTTTCTGCAACGTCTAGAAATACCAAGAGCTTCCTGTCATTGCCCGCTCGGACTTTAACTTTCCGCAATTGCTTTCTCCTCATACAACATTTCTGAAAAAATACCACCCCACTATCCCGTCCCGTGAGAGTGATGGACGTAGAGGCAGTGTGAGGGATGAGGCATGATGGAGGCGGCAGCGCCACCAGGCTCTTCCACTGACCGATGTACATGAGGTCCATGATGTCGGAGCGCAGCTCGGCCGGCGTCGGGTGCGTGCCGTTTGTGACGTTGGACGACACCACGCCGATCCAGCGGGCCGACTCGTCCAGCAGTGACTCGGCCGCGCCGGCCAGGTTGGCCGCCAGCGCGGTCGCCACGCCTGCCGCGGAAACGTGAGAGGTGATACGTGGGTAATGGGTGATGTCGAGAGAACGCTGAAAAATCTGACCGACAACGATAACTTGTGGAATTATGCGTTTAAATGTCTCCGAATAACATTCGAGCGCAATACATGACTCTAGTAATTTTACTTTGATGAGCGACAATACAATTATTACAACACCTACAGTCCTGAACACATGTTAAGTCCCATGGACTCAACACTAGATAGGAGTTACAAGCAGAAGCAAGATACTCGCATATGTGACGTAATAAGGTTCAACGTTCAGTCTCATCGTGAGTGACCAATGACCTGATTGGCTAGCGTGTTGCGTTTCCCGGCACACTTTGCCCGCCCCGTCTCCCGACCTGACTCGTGACTATCCTCCCCGATCCCTGACTCCACAATCACCAACCTGTGACGTTTCCCGTCGTGTTGCTGGGCGGGCCGGGCGGCGGGTTCTTGCTCGGCTGCGCCACGACCAGCGGGCCCAGCAAGAAGCTGCCGCTCATCCCCAGCTGGTTCAGCACGTTCGGTACTCCTGCGTGCCGGAACAAAAGGTGTTATCGATCACAGGACACAATTGGTAACCCAGCAGCAGCAAGCTGGTACCATCAAGACAGCGTACGATAAATACACATTACACACTTCAATCCACCAAATAAGGACTCCTAATAGCAGCGATTTTTACACCAAAGGAATGCATGGGCAAACCAACACCTAACACTGAACATCGTATTTGGCAGCATATTGACCTCAAATCCACCTACAAAGTATCTATGACCCTGAATCACGACCACAGACAAACTGAGCACCAGCGACTACCCCTCCCGACTCACAGGGCCGACCTGTCACTGGCTCCTCCGCAATGATAGACCACCCGTCCGCCGAGAGGAACCGTCCCTCTGCAGCAGGGACCACCTGTCCGCTAGAGAAGGACTACTCCTCCATAGTGCGGCAGACCCCTTTACAATGAGCGACCGTCCCTACCTGGTGCCCGACTCACCGGTGGCTGTGGTGCGCTGGTGAGGCGCGAACCACATGGCCGAGATATACGGCGGTGCCGCCATCGCCATAATGCCGGCCACGCCCGTCAGCACGGAGGCCACGAACGCGAAACTGCAACAGAGGGGGTCACCGTCAGCACGCACAGAGGCAATGAACGCGAAACTGCCCACAAAGGGAGGCGTTCGCCTTCAATGGTGAGCAGTTGGTGTTCATTGGGGGAGTCAGCACAGAGGCCACGAACGCGACACTGGCGGCAAAGGGATAGATGGCTGTCAATGGCGAGTCAAATGGAATCATTGGAGTCAGGATTCAACAGTGAACGGCCAGCCGTGGGTGGTCAGTGGGACTACGAACGCAAAACCACAACTGCCCGTTGTGGCTGCCAGCGAGTAATCGGAGGCTGTCAGCGCAGTCAACACTGAATGGTTGACGGTGAGTGGTCAGCGGTCATTGTTCAGTGGTCAGTGGTCAGCGGTTCACGTTCAGTGGCCATTATGTATCGGTGTTTCTTCATGAGCTCGCAAGCCATCGTGTGTGCGTGTGCTTTAATTTAGTTCCAGTCCAAGCCGCTACATGCGGTTATCAGTTATCACACTCGAGATCTGTGCTATCGGTGTAAGTTTTTAGGACAGCTGCATTGAATCTTAGCGCAGAAAAACGCGCTGATGAGACAGAAATAGCACAGCCGCAACGAACTAAGTCATCCGTAATCAGGACTCAAAGACAAAGGCTTCGTGCGTCGCAGGATATTACCCGATTAAAATACGACGCACTTGGGGTTCGGGTGACACATAGTTTGACAAATGCTTGTTTCAGCGCGAACAATTACGCGTTTGTGCTGACTTGTTGATGTTACTGTCCGACCTACCCACGGTACGGACTCCTGTCACTGCCTAGAGTAGTCACTAACCCCACCACCGTCACACAGCTGGTAACGTGATCGGTCCGCCAGCACACGACCCCAGCCACACCGCGCCGAGGTGGCACGGACCGGCCGCAACGGTAGCCTTCCGTGACTAACACGGCCGCGAACCGTTCGCCATTATACAATCGGCACAACACACACGGAGGGCATCGAGCGGGCGGGTGGCGACAGGGGACGATTGTGTAACAGATCTGTACCATGGTATATGATTCCGAAGGGGTTAGACGCCAGCTGGAAAACAAGACCAGCAGTGCTGACAATGAGATAGGTAACAGACAGATACTTCTTCGATATAATTAGAAATTGGCTAATTGAACAAAGCCAACCGGGGTCTGTGCCCACTGACCAGGCAACGTATTTCATGGTGCTAGCTGGATGCATACGAAGGACCACAAAATAAGCTAGTTCGAAGAAGGAGAGCATATGTAGTACCTCCGGGGGTAACCCTATTTGCGACACGACACCTGCATCAATATCAACACAAATACGAATTCCAGACAGAGTATGTATGTGATAGCAGGAGGCGTAACCCTATCTGCGGTACGTCATCTCCCGTATCACATGTAGTCAGACGGACTACTGGCCTACCGCCTGACACTTAGAGATACTGTAATCACATAAACATTGCGGATACAATCAGCAAAGATATCGGAACAACAACAAAGCACTCCGCGGGTAAATGGTATGAGGAAATGGTCCAGCCCACAGACTATCTCAGTTTCCGCCAAACAGAAGATAGCACCTCGCTGACTCTTTTTTCGGGCCAAAGCCGGCGATAACCAGTATCAGCAAGAGAACGTTAGTTAGACACCCTTGTTACGTCAGCCCTCACTCCTTTTCAGCCGATGGACGATGGACCTAATGACCGCTCCGTCAGTCATGTTCAGCTCGGTGCCAGCCATCAACTATCACGTGATGCCGTGTTAATGTGGAGCAGCCACACCACATTGCAGCAGCAAACTAACAGCACCAATTCCTCTGATAGCTTAGACTCAGAGCAGTTAGGTATGACTCGACCACTGACCCGGCGACACTCACGCCCCAGAGCGGGGTTAGGCCACCCGTCTGCCCGGTACTCACATGTTGAAGAAGGGCTGCTGTAGAGTGATACAGCGCAGGGCGGTGCCCACTGCCAGACACGCGGCCATCAGAACCACGGCCGGACGGACTCCTGCGGTGCAGGGAGACACGGACGTGGAGTCACGGCTGGTGTCCAGGGCACGATATCACGGCAGGAGTCACGTGGGTCGCGAGCAGTCATAGCTATCCATTCATCCATTCGAACCAAATTTATGAAAGTAAAAATGTAATGACATCACTGTTATCGAAGTCACCTGAATTACACACAATCACCGCCCTACTGAACGCCAAGCCCCAGCGGCCCTACTATCAACGCTGTCTGCGACTCGTCCTACCCTGGGGGATGTCAGTGTCAGCAAATCAGTGAACCGTGATCCACGCTGGACCCTTTCTGTTTAGCCGACAGTCCATGGGCTAATGGACCTTCGACCGGGGACCAGGAACCACGATCCAGCTGATATTGCTCTGCTTCACTTGTTAGACCGTGGCACCGGACCGTGGCAGCTCAGAGCAAGAACGAGTTTTTGTCGCGATGGCAATGTGTTTTGCTTGAGAGGGTCCGGCTCTTTGCCGAGTGGCCGCCCGTAGGTTTTTAATGAATTGATTGCAGGGAACTGACCTTTTTTGTCGAGTAGCCAGCAATAGGGCGCCATGAAGACAATGAAGGCGATAAGAGCCACGTTGGTGAGACTGGAGATGGTGAGCTCTCCCCAGCCGGGGAACGCCACCAGTGCTGCTTCCGTGATCGGTCCCCATGTGTTCCAGATGGCGCACTGTGGGCACACGACAGGGGCATTGCGGTCATAATCTCGGTAAAACGTTAGCAGGTACAGGCACACACTGCGGGCACACCGCGAGCATACGACATCTGTCAGGGGCAGCGTGATAGCACAGTGTGTGGAAATCGAAGCAGCCAAGCCCTCAAACTTCGAGGCGATTAAAACATTCATCAAAATGCACAGAGTTAAAACTTATCACGCAGAATGGGATAAGCTGTTTGAGGTACGGCAGCAACATTTTTAATTTTTATCGCCTCCCGTTAAAATTCCACATAGACCAAGCCGATGATCTTTGTATCTTTGTATGTATATCAGACAGTCGTGTTAGTTCATCGTTGACATAAGACAGCAGTCGAGATGGCCCAGGCCGTGACTTAAAATCTTAAATGCCGGCCTGCGTCAAACGCCTTACAACAGGGAGTGTCTGGTGCGCCTGTCAAGGGTACAAGCGCCCGCCTGAGAGATGCGCGTGGGGTAGTGATCCGAGGTTTGTCCCAACTCCAACGTTTTGTTTAATGTGGTCCCGGTGTTAACTTAAAAGACTGAGTGCGGCCTACAATAACTGGAATAAGTAGATCAGTTCAGCGTTAAACATTTATTATTGTTAAAAGTCACGCCTTAAAAAACACACACAAAAACAGAAAACGTTTGCCCTCGGCCTGCCACATGTTCTCACGTTTCATAAGCAGCTGTCATAAACAGATGATGAAACTACCACAAAATAATCACAAGTTCACCATGCCATCATTTCGTTCCATGTCACCACTGAATAATACTTTTTGTCCATAAAATACCCTGACGATAACGGCTAGCCTGGCTAAAGGCGTAGCCGGTAGCTAGGCTAGCCACCCTACGGCTAGCTCGGAGACTAAGCGCGCAGTGTAGAATATACTAGTATCTAAGTAAAAATTACAGTAAGTCTAACCTGCGGATCTCAGGGCGTGGAACATACAAATCCCCGTCTGATCTCGCCCGAACGACCTCTTCATTGAGCCGTAATCACGTGACATAAGCGTGACCTCCATACCCAGGGCGCTCGACAGGGCACCAGCCGTGGGCTGCCGAGGGGGCTGGCCCATGAACCACGTGCACATTAGCACGCGGGTTCGGTGTGATCGGGGCGTGCCGGCCGACCCCTACAGCGGTCAGGACTGCCGGCTGTGATCCGTCACTGACAGTCGGCAGGATCGCAGTGTTGGAAAACATGACTTGAGCTATCACTAGCATTGTCAAGATGTGCAGCTGACTTAGCGCACTATCGTGGTAGATATTATTTGTGATTTAAGGGGTCTGAGCTGCTGGCTGTTACCGGCCGCTGACACAAAATAACAACCAGTCCTATGCCCACAGATCAGTGTCGGGTCAGAATTTCCCTGTTATGGGTCTGAGCTGCAGGGTGTCATCAGTCACCGGCAGAAAATGACCGTCAGCCTTTTAGACCAGCATCGGGTCAGAGTCCCTGGTCTGGGTCAGAGATGGGCCTGGTCTTCGTGAAAGAGGCCAGGGGCACCCGAGGGACATAAATCTCTGGCTAGAGATGCAATGTTTCGTTAGTGTGTCTCTTCAGCCAACATGCAGGCGGCTGATCGCCACCCAGAATTTCATACATCATTCCAGTAACAGTAAAATAATCCTTTTCAGACAAGCTAGACATATGCCTGCATGTGTCCCGGGTTGGAAAACTTCCACTGCCACTCTGGTAGCGTAGACGCGAGACTATCTTTTGTAAGGTTTGCACCTCTAGAAGTGGCCTCCAGGCGTACCCACACGGCGCCAGGACCAGCTATAGTCTAAACAAGCGGCACGCGCCACATGACTTGACCGTGGCATCCCATCGAGCGATTACGGGCCGCAGAGGGCACACAGGCCACATGGCCGGCGGGCCGCTCGGTCTAGCGACCTCCAAGATCTGCGACCTTTTGATCCGTGCATACATTCTTGAGACAACCAGTGCAGCGGTTAGTCTTGTCCAGTGAGCTCTGTCTATAAGGTCTTGTCATGGTCTTGCAATTCACCGATTCCAGCACCTTTTATCAGGTGGGGTAACTGATATGATATATGATCTCAATAAAACTACACTAACACCGCTGAACATAGATAATTTATAAACTAAATGATTGCGACATGAGAGTGATAACAAACAAAACCGCTATTGGATGACTTTCTGCAGAATCCGTCAGATGAGCTGCAGTTTGCTCAGCTAAATTCAACGTAGCCACGTAAAACGGTAACTTCGCATCCGGCATCCCATAGCCACGTAAAACCGTAACTTCGCATCCTCCATCCGATTAACAAAGCCCACAGCGACAAAAAGTGTTGGCAGCTGCGGTGCGAGGATCTTTGTGGCTGAGGCAGCGCTGCGTTCTACCAAAGTGGATCGACACGGTGCGTCAGTTATGTGTCGTTTGTCAACTTTGATTATTCGATCCAGGTATCCTAAGCCAAAACACAGCATCGCCAAAACGCAGATGCCACAAAATCTCGCCACTTACTCCGCACGAGATGCTTCACAAAAAAAAACAGGTGACACTGCTAAGTCATTCGTTACTCGCAGGGCCAAAGCGAGACTCAACCACCCTGGCATGCTGGCTGTTCCTGGCTATAGCCTCGCAGTCGGCCGACAGAAACGGCTACATCGGTCGGCTACAAACGGTCCGTCACCGCGGCTGACCGGCCAGCTGTGCAGCGGACAGCCCAGGACACATCCGCTGGAGGCATTTCAGAAAACTAGACTACGCTGTACCGGACGTGACGCACTCGTCGCGCGTGATTCCGGTACACCAACCGACCATCTTCTGCTGGACGATTCTGCGCCGGCTGTCCAGTGTCACTGTGCAATGCTCATATCGATAACGCTAACCGGGATTCGTACCCGGTGGCGGCAACGGTTAGGGAAAAACAACGACTGATGATGAAAACGATAACTTATCGATATGTAGATAGCGATGGATCACTCACAATCTGAGTTTAACTAGGATTGTGCAAACAAGGAAGAAAAACATACGTACTGGAAATATTCTGAAACTCGTGAAACTAGCCGAAAGACTTTCAAAAGTGGCGACTTGGACTGGTCGGACAAGTAGCCCCTTTCATCATCACCGACCAACCCCGACTGAATCAGCTGATAGACCCGACAAATTGGCCACAAAGGTCAGTCCCCAGCTGGAGGGGAGCTCCCCTCCTTCCATCCCTCCTCTTTCCCTCCCCAGTCCATCCTCCCTCACTCCTGCGCCAGACCGGGTCAGGTTTCGTATATCGGATATCCAGGGAGCGCGCGGCGCCGGCCGCCGGGGTCAGATACCCTGCCGTACCGGGTGAACCAACGAGGCGACCCGGCGCGGCGGGCGACTGGGAAGTTGGGCAATCCATGGCCGTGGGGTCCGTTAGTTCTATCAGTTTCAAACGAAGGTCTGCGTAAAACATATAGGTAGCAAACAACAAAACTCAATAAGTTCAAGTATCAACAATAAGTCAAGTTCAAGTCTAAACAAACCGACTCTGAGCTTGACGGAAAGTTACCAATGGGGTAGTCTTGGTAGGTCATGATTCATGGGAAATAATTCATGGCATAATCTACGAATTCCAGATCTCGCTAGCGCCGGATCAAAACCTGATTATTCTACCAGAATTCGGAAATAACCGGCTACATCCAGACTGAACCGCGGATATACCCAGATGCCAACGATAAACAGAGGGAGGTTGTGGCAAGTCCATACATTCCAACACACCCACACGTAAGACCTGACCAACATGGAATACAGGCCCAGGCCTAGATTTCGTCGAGTTTGAGGTGAACTAGTGACTAAGCAAAAGATATAGCGTAAAGTGCATTGCTATTTACATAAAATGATGAAGGGCATTGTTAACGTCCTTAAATCATACCAACTACGACAACGTATTACGTAACATAAAACGTAGGTACTCTCGAGGGTTTCAGTATAATTACTCAACGGTGTCTGGATATTATCAGTATATTAGGTGCATTTGAAACCGACGAATTCGGAATTGGTGACATAGCAAAACTACATTTATTCAGTAATTTAATTTAGTAGTGTTATTTAGTCAGCAAGGCGGACGAAGATGAAATGCAACATAGTATTGCAGCTCCAGGCATACGTCGATCACGCTCTGAGCATTCCCTCCTGATATTTCAAAATCGACAGTACAGAAAGCTGCAGATTACGAAGCCGAAACTTCCTATGACATGTTCGATTTGCATAATTGAACGTTGATAAAAGTAAGTTACAGGAATTCACAGCTCATAATGCGAGAGAAAATTAAAAAGGAGTGCAGACAACAACGGCGCATAGCGGAGCGAAAGTCACACCTCGGTCTACATCCCCTCCCTTTCTTCCACACACACATACCTGCATGAATCCGAGCGCCGAGTAGACGGCCAGGATGTACCAGCGTCGCTTGTAGGTCTTGACGACGGGCGGGGCGGCGCCGGCGGGCGCCAGCAGGGGCCTGCGATCGCTGTCGGCGGACTCCATGTCGGCGTTCACCACCATCACTGCCGGTCAGCGGCGGAGCACTGTCAGCGGGCGGAGCGGGCCGGGTACGGGCGCGGCAGAACACGTCGAGGGCGACCGACGCGACTGGCTCTGACGCTCCCGGTACGGAGCGCCGCCGAAGACTGGACCCGCTGGCCGACGGCGGGTCGGGCTGCTCTGGCCGGACCGACCACGTGTGGACCCGTCACCCCGGATGAGGGGGGGGCGACTATGGTGACGGGGGGGGGGGAGCGGCGCCACACCCCGAACACGTCATCCGCGCCGGGACAGCGCGTGACTATGACCAATAAACAATGCAAGTCTTTCAGTAGGTACTCCCGAAAGCCTTTGTTCCCAAGGCAACAAAAGGAACAACGCGCGTGTCACCAATGACCGATGAGATGCCTATCATTGTGCTGACAAATAACCAACCGGAGATTTCCATAACTCATAAGGATTGATTATTCATATTTATACATTAAATAATTTCACAATCTTAGCTAGGTATCAAGCATGTAAAACATTTCTGTCCTTGAACAAAATCTAATAAATTTACAAGTTCCTAGGTGCGAGGTATGCTCAGAAAAAAAAACAATTTCTAGTTACTAACAATGGCACTAACATGAAACATCAGATACCTTCTTTACCAGACTAAGCTAAGTTGGTCATTGGAGTTAGATGACACCCAGCCTTTGGATCCCGCTCAGTGCTCACATCGAGTAAAAGGCATATCGGAAAGGCTTAGTGGGGAAAGGCTTCACCCGCCCTAGTGAGGGGGGGGGGGCGAAACAGTAGTACTTGGTAGCGGAGGGGAGCGGCGTGCCGTGAAAAAGGGCTAAGGTGGCAGTGCGCTCCAGGTATTTACCACCCTGACTCCAGAGCGACTTGGCGTCACGCTTATTCAGCTTACTGGTGACCTCCTGCGATTCGTTTTGTCACGAACGACTCAAATTGCACGCCCAGGAGTCCATGAAAAGGTTGGTGAGAGGTCACCGTCCGTATCTCCACAACAACGGCGGTAGTGCAGCGAAGGGAGGCCGAGGAGACGAGGCCTTGTAGAGGCCTCGTTTCTGAGGCCAGCGACCATGCGAATCGCGCGGGTCGCGCGTACCTGCACTACCCCTTATCATTCATGTCTTTTTCTGGAGAATGGACTCTAGATCGCGTTACCGAACTCGAAAAATGCTGAATCGTGGTCTGGAAAAGATGCGACAAGGTGCACTTATCAATTTTGACGAATGACCAGCAAATCACTGCAAATATGTAAATGCCTTCAAAGCCTTGGCAATGGTGGCAGCTGTCTGCTTGTGGAAGCTTAGCTGTCCATCAATGTTTAAGCTAAGGTCTCATTCTTCCTTGCAGGTGACAGCAGTCCCTCCCTCCTCAGGTGGTACATGCAAACTGAAACTGGGTTATGAAAGCCTAGATGCCTTGTTGTCACTTCAGAAGGAAGCAGTCATGCTCAGGATCAGCAGAACAGATCATCTTTGTTGTCCTGTGGGCTAGATTTATCAGCAGGCATTTTTCAATACAGCTTGGATATCTGTAAGCATAATCACTGTGTTGGCAGCCTGAGCAGACAAGTCACAAACACAGCACAAGTGCAGGGCAGAGCACAGTATCCTGTGTCCTGTGATATCAATATGCCCTGTGCAACCAAAGAACATAGGTAGCTACTGACAGGCATCACATTTATCACTGGATGACTGCCCTCTACTGGAAATCAAGCAGGAATATCTGGATCCAGTGCAGGTGTCAGCCTGACACATCATAGTTTAGATTGCCTAGGGGACACCTGTCTGAAAGGTTTTGCAATGCGTTGTGCAATCATGGATTATATTTTATTGACATTTTGACATGGTATTCTGATAATGAGGTGTGCTTGAGATTACTAACTAGCATGTTTTTCACCAATCCTTTTAAGGCCAAGGCTACGAATTGGAATTTGGAATGCAAGGCCATGAAAACTGAACTACCACTCACTTCTTTTAACATCTATCCACATTTTATGTTGTTACAAAACCCCCCAAAACTATTTCCAACAGCAGCATGCACATGCAAGCAGAGATACCATTCCAACCCATAAGAATTGCACAGTCCTCTGTCAATTTCGATGTTGCTCAGCATGCTGATCCTGATGCAGACCTAACGTTTCAATTGTAAGAAGCAACCAACTTATATAGCCTTGCAACCAACTAACCTCTCTCTCTGTCTCCAGAGTCAGAGAAATCCATGACTGTTAGCAACTACAACTTTGCTCTTATGCTTTTAAGACTAAGTTTAAAATTTGTGGCACCACTCCGACTTCCTTGTTCCTTCCGAATATAATACAACGCGACTGTCGTTTGTCGCAAGGCTATAGAACTGGGCTCTGGTATTAACTGGATAATTCGCCAGCTGACGCCGTATGGTGGCGCTAGTGGAGCAGCACCATATGACGTCAGCAGAAAACACCGTAAGCAGCTATGAAAGCGTATATATCTTTCCCGAGCGAAAAAAACAAACATTCCAGTTTTTTGGCGCTTTTGTTTCAATTGTGGTGGTTCTGTTCGAGGGCCCATACAGATGGTGTTTGCGCAAAATTTGTATCGGAAAATCACTGACTATTTAGTGTCGACAGCTGCATGTTAACTTTTTGAACACGCCTCCATCACTGCTTGTTTATAGGCTGTCTGTGGGTATTGGGCTGTGTTGTGCTGTATATACCGTGTTTTGCTGGGTGATTGTGATAATATTTTGATGATTAACCTCTTTATTCACACGCCTCCATCACTGCTTGTTTATAGGCTGTCTGTGGGTATTGGGCTGTGTTGTGCTGTATATACCGTGTTTTGCTGGGTGATTGTGATAATATTTTGATGATTAACCTCTTTATTCAGCGGTAGAGAATTCTGAAAATTCCAGGGGGTGCTACAACCCCTAATTATCCACCCCTGTTTTTTTATTTTAAGTTCCATCCAGTACCAGTATGAGTGTTTATGGCTTGGAAGGTAGGTGAAACATTTCATTATTGTAATTTTAATCTTTGAGACCTGAATTTCAACATTCTCTTGAGAGCCTGAGAGCATTCATGCCAAGGTTTCTGAGTCTGTTTCATGATAAAGAGACAATATTGATAATGGAGTCAACTTGTGGGTCAAGTCAGCAGATCTTGATAAATGAGTACGTATGACATCACCTCTACACCTGTCGCCTCCTGTATTGTAGTGATGGCAGGTTCAATGCTGAGTCTCAGAATAATAGCCAGCGAGCGTATACTGTTGTTTTGTATTTCTATGCCCGATCAGCCCTAATATGTAATGTCTTGCATTTCTAAATATTGAACTGTAATGAATGAGACGCTGTAATGAGGCACTGTAATGAAAAGACTGCCTCAGACTGCAAGGTTCTATTTAACCAAATATGACTGCATGTCTGCTACAAAATCAAACACTGACAAACACTGACACTGACATCAGGCACTGACAAAGTGAATGCACAAGAATGCACAAGAATGCCTCACCAAACGTCAAACGATTCAACTGTGGAGGACATTGAAGAGCAAGTGAATGCACAAGAACGATAAGGACTTCTGGACTTCAGAGCAAGAGATACACCCTAAACTCAGGAACGCCGCTGTCACCACATATAGCATACAGCACCCGGTCGTGCCCATCATTAGCCTACAAGCCCCATCTACGAAACCAAGCGCTATATCGTGGGAACCGCACAGGGGTCTCTGTTCACTAGCCGGCGGCCAGGGCACGAGCCGCTGCACCTGGTGGGAAGTCACCCCAGCCAGACCACATTGTCGCACATGCTGCTCCGACAGACAAGTCGCACGCACGAAAGTTCAGTGGCATCGTCTGCTGTGACGTCAGCATTGCGACGCGGAGCCGGCTCTAGCATGGGATGCTATGGGAAAACTGGTGTTTTATTCGGGTCACAATAAAACATGCTATTGATGACTTTATGGGGTGGGTGATGCATAAGTATGATATAAAACACAAACATTTCGTATTTTCACGTTATTTTTAACGGGTAACAGCTACTAAAACATTTCAAAAACGAACTTTGATGTACTTTCTGGTTTAGAACCAAGAAAGAAAATAGTATATTCCAAAATCTAGTGTCGCAATGGTGACGCCAACCTCGACTAACCTGTATGTTTATGGCCTTGACGTCACGCTCCTCGCGCCCAGTGAGAGTCTACTAGTGGCAGAACTAGTGACCCGGACCGCGGTTGGTCTCGATCCGAGTCTGCAGGCTGTGTGGCGCTGCAGCTCGCCGCTGGCCCTCCGCTTGCTGGTAGGGGTGGTCAGCGCGGTCTGCCTTGGGAGGTCGCCCGCTGACTCGGGCGCGGCCTCGGAGGGGACAGCTGGTCCGACGCTCCGGACGCAGCACCGGGATGGTGGTGGCGTAGCGCGCCTTTCCCAGGTGGCGTTGGGCGTACAGCTGGCTCTGCCGAGCTGTGGGCGTCGCGCCTTTCCTCCAGTCGGCGACGAAAGCGTTCAATGCCTTCTGCCAAGACGGTCCCTGGTCCGGGTGCGCAGCGGTGTCCTCCAGGACCGCTGCAGAGACCGCCTCGGAGAAGGCTGCCAGTGACTGGCGCACCTCTTCCAGTGGGTCGGGAGCCGTTACTCTAGACGAGCTGGCCAGTGCCACTGGCGGACGACTGGTGAAATCGTCGCCGCTGTCTGATGCTCCTCCACCATCGGCGGGCTCTGGGGACGGGGCAGCGTCTTCTGCGACGGTGGTTGGGCGCAGCGCAGGTTCCGGACCGGGAGTCCTCAGGTCCGCAAACCAGTCGGGAGACATATCTTGTCGACCTGAAACAAAACCAGTGATTGTAGCTTATTAATGTAGGCATTGCAAGAAACAATAGTTTATCGAAATGGTTCATTTTTGACCGTGCCCTGATTTGATTTAAAAAAAATAGTACCTGCGTCACCGTGTGTTGGTTTGACAAGATGTACATGGTAAAATAACATGGTGTTTATTATTTTTTATCGAGTCATGTTGTGCCAGGTCAGGCTAAGGAGACTGAAAGCCGAAAGGTCACATTGTATGTCATTCGATTGGGATATGTTATCAATTTTTTAGATACACTGGAGATGCCTTTCGCGATAGGTGGGTGACGACACTTTTAACTTAACAAATGACGCCATATTTTAGCGATACTCCAGCCTCGAAGCGTATCGGTGACCTGCAATTCCGTATTTTAGTAATCTAGGGTTTATATGGATGACAATGATATCCCTTTTAAGACGGAAATCGGGGTTTCAATATGACTCTTTTGCTTACAGTGATGAGATCACGTAACTGGCCAGTTGCCAGACCTCGAACTGACCTCACGAACACAGAAATCAATTTATGCGATCTATTGAGATTACGATTCGCTGTGCCAGGCAATTGACTCACCTGTCGCCACGAAGTACATGAGCTTCCTGTCCTCGACGCTCGCAGTGTCTGCAGTTGCAGAGTTATCGGCCGTGCCGCTGTCGAGGGCCTTGACGGCGTCAAGGTGCTTGCACCTGCCGCCCCCGACATACCCCGGACAGGTGCACATATCCAGGGTGCTGTCCACGGTGTACAGGGTGCTGCCGTCTGTGGACAGCACGCTGTAGATGCCCGGGTTCTCCTGCAGGAATACAAAACGACGATACGCACCTATCAGTCATTGTCCTTTCGTTAGGCAGAGGCAGAGCTGTTTGTGGCGAAAACTCTGTTTGATTTGAATGACTAGCGCAGAATGTAAGGGTGTTGATTTAAGTACCTACTGGTGGAAAAAAACGCCGGGACTGTGAACTGTCACTTGTCCGAGGGAATGAGAAAATTGTGTGTGTGTGAGTGTAGAGCTGGCAAAACAGCATCATTTTCATAACCTGTTAAGCGATGGTATTCAATTCCACTTTTGCAGTAGCAGTAAAGCTGTCGTGAGACCGCAGCAGCGCAAGACGACACATGTGAGACCATAACGTAGTCCATCCACGACGATATCTCACCCCGTCGGGAGTGATGCGGTCCCGTGGGACGCTCACAGCGCTGCTTCGGGAGCCTCCCTGACGGGCAGCCGGTGGTCGCCGTCCACTGGCGAAGCTTACGAGCTTTCGCTCGTAGAAGTCGCTCAGTCTGAGGCTGAGTACGTCGTGGAGCTGGAGGACGTCGTAGAGCCGAGTCCTGGGAAAGACACAAAATCACCCTCGCCGTTACGGACTTTTTGCCACCCTCGACGGTGCATACAGGAGGTAGAGAATCCATGACGGGTGTGAATTGATGATAAATAACTCAAGTTTATTGGAAAATGACTGAGTTATATGACTTGAGTGAAAAAGACTTTCAATAAACTTGGTTATGTATCGTCAATTCACATGCAGGACTTTGGACTTGGTACGACCCCCCTCCACACACACACACAGCGCAAAATGACCTCGCAGTTGACGCGCCCTAAAACCCCAAACAACAAATCACAAACGCATGCACGCACGTACAGCATAGCACATCCATATACCCTTCATGACACAGAAGTGATGCACCCCCCCCCCCTTCCCCGGTGAAGACTAGCAATCGATCGGCAGATAGCAAGGTAAAGGCGACAGACGGGACAGGGCAGTCAGCAAACGAGATAAGTAGGTAAATGATTGATAAGTTTAAGTTTGTTTCATACGCTAGCATTGAGCCGAATCAACTATTTTCGAGAGAGGGGAAGGTGATAACTGATAGTGGATAGATGCCTTACTTAATTTGCGCTAGAATGTCTTAAGATTTACCGGTGGAGGACGTTGTCCTTGAGAACCCTCATGGCAGCCTCCACGGTATTATTTGTGTTGTGGCCCCGTGTCGGGAGGCCAGCCCTGAAGCACAGGGCCACTCCTGCCGCCGATCCAACAGCGCCTGCTGGTAGGCGATGAACCGCGGGTAGAGGGCACCCCACCGACCCTGCAGCGTCTCCATGGCCTCCGCGAGGCCACGCTCCGATGGTGCGTACACCATCTGCTTGGCCAGCCTCATGAGCTCTTGTCGATGCTGAACACAGAT